TTGTAAGATAGGCGACCAGGACAAGGCCTCCCATGCTGTGTCGTGGGTTGCACTCCTGACACGATGCTTAAATGGTTCATGAAACAGGCTCTATACTGTTCCCTTGATTTGGAGGGAACAAACGGATCACAAAACAGACTCTTAATTCTGCCTGCCACAAACAGCTGGACTGACCGCAAAAACAAAGAAAACTGTGTAATGTCATACAGTGACGTTGCCAAGGCAAAGATCAAATATTACGAGTACGCTTACAGCGTTTGTGAAGGCCACAAATTACTCTTATTTTGAATTGAAATTGAGAGATCAGGTCAAGACCTTTGTTCCACAGCTAAGTCGAACATATTGTAACGTTTCTCCGTGGTGAATTAAAACCAACACAATATTTAAACAAAGAAGGTTTATTCGGGAACAATATACACTAAATCTACTTGGTCTATTTACAAATATATACACTTAATTATTTTTCTTTACACACGATTCCGTTCTCTTGATGATTTATTTACACAGTTCCTTCTTAACACACTATTTATTTATACTGTTCTCTTCTTCTACAGTATCAGCCAGTCCGATGCACTGTCCACGGTCCACTGCACTTGACCCAATTCCCTGCACAGACCACAATTCCCCTGCGCAGACCACAATTCCTTGCGCAGACCACACTTCACTGCGCACACCAGGGTCCACTGCACTGCTGTTTACCGCGATGCCACTTCACAGCTCGCTTCCACTGCAGACTTCAAACTGCTGACTGCTGTTTCCCCACTGCACCACTGCTTACCGCGATGCACCCTTCATAGCTCAGCTTCCACTGCAGACTTCAGACTGCTGACTGCTGTTCAACCGCTTGCACCACTCTTCACCGCATGCACATTTCACAGCACAGCTCCACTTCGGGACACACTGACGGACTGACTGCTTCTCTGCCACTCACTACGTCTTACAACCCACTGACTTCTACTCACGTCTTCTACTAACTGACTCGCGGCCGCGCAGCGGCGCATTTATACCTGCCGGCGCTTGTCTCCAGGCACCCGGCATGTTCTCGGCGTTTCCCCCGGCTCGCGGATAGTCCAGAACCGTCTAATTCGGGGGGGGGGAGGGGGCGCCGGCAGATGACGCAATCCTCGCGCAGCGAATTCCGGCATGTGATGCAATATTCGTAACAATATGTTAAGAAGGCTTAGACAATGGAATAAGGGAATCATAAAGGCAATTATCCTTTGGAATACCAATAGCGTGGAGGAAAGGATCATTTAACATATTGCTACTTTTGCATGACGAAATAAAAAGGTAATTAATACCGAGAGACTTTATTTTATATTTCAGAGGTAGAGGGGTAGCAAATCTCTGGGTTATCAATATGTTCGCTGACTTTTGTTGGTCTTTGAAAATAAATGAACCTGGAGCCAAACATAAACGAAATACGCTTACGTAAGTATTTCAATAAAATAAATTCAGTTAGGACGAATTCAGTCGCTGTCTGGAGGACAATTCTAGAGGCCGGCTGCTCTGATCGGTAGTTTTACGTTTGTTTCTCCGATCAACACTACGTAAATGTTGGTCCAGTACCTTAACAAACGGGTCACAGACCGCGCGCGATCTGTCCTTACTCTTCCGTGTCCTATCCTCAACCCTTACCCACACTTACATTCACATGCACTACACTACCACATTTGCCGGGAGGCTGATCAGAAGCTTAGAGCTTGTTCTGGCTGGGGTGGTGCCTTGCTGTTGGGAGATAGCTGGATGGGGGAAACCCCTCTAGCCGAGGGTAGGTCGGCACCAGATCTCGCTATCCAACGGGGAAGATCACAGACATCTGTCGAGGGAAAAATGCACTACACTTACGGGAGTAATTACCTTGCTAGTTGACGTGAGAGGAAGCAATAACAATCTATAAAATAAATTGTCTTCGGTAAATAAAACAAACTTTAAAATATATTCCGTGGTGGTAGCACATATCTTGTGGTAATCTTTAATGCTAATGGTTAATCCATTATGTTCTACTGTATTAATCCATAATGTTGTGGTAATCCACATTACTTTAAAATATACTAAAGGAAATGTAAAAGAGCTTCATTTATTTGAATCATTCTCATTTATTACTCACGAGGGACGCATGCAGAAAGGAAGTACAAGGGTATTCATTTTTTAATATGATTTACTATTAACAAAGGTTGCGCTGAAACTATCTTGTGTTATAATTCATTTAGTCACCTTCATATCTGTTATTATTGTTATGTCTGTTATTAAGTTATTGATCTCTTTAAACAGTAAATGTTCTAATGTTAATAAGTGTGCTTAGTAGGATCCTTAGCACGAAAACTAGACGTGATTGAGGAAAACTTATATTATTTAGGAGTACAGCGTAGTCAATTCGTATAAAAATGAAGGGAACATTTCCCCTTCGAGATGTGTTGGTTCAAATCCTGACGGTGGGATGCAGAGAAGGCTCTCAAGGCTTCCTTTCTCCATTAATCTTCTTCATCATATTCGCTGTGTGTATGAGCGTGTCACCGGTGAGTCCAGGTGACTGAGAGGAAGTCTCTGCACCTTGTTTTGGCTTTTGACTCTTCTAGACGGACAGGTGGGAGCTAACCCGGGAGGTCTTTGCATTTTTTCTTGTACTCTGCGGATATTCACAAACAGAACTGTGAAAGTGAGAGCGTTGGATGACTTGTTCGTACATTAACGGAATACGGGGCGGTGTTGGAACTCATAGAAATTTACAAAGGAAAATTTGGAGAGAATATAGAGAATAGCTTGTAAAAATGTTCTTTCCGAGATAGTAGGAAGAAAGTAGAATGAGAGTATCTGTTATTCAGGAGGGTTAACGGAAGGATCTGTGACGTGTACAAAAAGCGTATGCTGGTTGCTATATACACAGTAGTTCTGCCCGCGGAGAAGGGGAAGGGCGCTCTGTGCCCGACATGATAGGTGCGGCCCTGGAAACAGGCCCGGTCCAGCGCCGCGGCCAGGATGAGCAGTTCCGCAAGGCGCCACCGGGAGCGAGGCGAACGGCGTCGCTCCACACCGAGGCAGCGAAGAGCATCCACCGACAGCCCACCGCTACTTTCCTAAAGGCGGGAAGCGCGTAGACGGGCGCAGAGGGCTCGGGAGATTTAAGGGCCCCGGGATGGGAAAGTGGCAGTGTGGTTATTAGGCAGTTAAACTGAGCGAGAAGTAATGAGTGCGCTTCTACGACGTGTTGGCGACGGAACAATGTATTTGGGTGATAGCTGGTGGACGGTAACAACTGTGCGACGTTTGGGACATCTACTGGTATTTCTGTGTCTTGGCTTGTATTTTGGATTTCGACTTTTGAATTTCCGGCTGATTGTAATAAATATGTTGACAAAAAGGTGTTCTTATTCTCTCCCTGGCTTTCCTATACAACAAAATATTTACATCCGACTCGGTAGATCCACGTACTTTCGTAGGGAGGATCACAAGCACAAATTCAGTTTAGATCATAAAGAAGAGACGTTTGAAAATATTGCTGTGCAAGTAGAACAAAAACGGAGTGGAAAAAGTTGCCTGTGACAGCCCTGAAACCCTTTCCTCTAGGTGTTCAAGCATTTAGAAGTAAATTAACTAGTGTTATTTGTAAACTCTATTTATTGAATGAGGCTTAATAAGTAGTTATTATTATTGTTATTATTATATATAGCTATATATAATAATAATTTTATTCAGGTGTATTATATTACAAATATAATCTTAAAATGTACAATGTTAGATATGTGTTCCGTTAAGAACATTGTACTTTGCCGAGTTAAAACCTGTTTGCCAACCTGAAATCTGTTAAGCTATATTTACCTTCTTGATATAGCGAAAAAAAAGTCAAATCGTATGATAACAATACATGATAAATATAAGAAGACAGACAAAACAACGACTAAAACAACACAATGCAAAATTCAATCAAACAAGAACAAATGAATAATGCACAGGAACAGAAAAAAAATTACATCCTTATAGCTCAACTTAATGTAAATACTCATTTGTTTTTGTTTGCTTGTAATACCCAAGAACAGACAAAAATCTAACTCAACTTACTACGTAAATAGAAGCAAACAAAAACGAATAATGTTTGAGGATAATACCGCAATAAATAATGAGTCATACCCAACAGTACCTATTTATTTATTGAAATTATATTATTAGTATTAATTACTATTAAATTTATTGCTTTATTAAATACGATATATTTAAAGTTGTGACGTGTTGTGAGAAGCGGTGCAATGCAGAAGAGGTATGAGAAGTAAAGTGCAAATGTGAAGAGGTGTACACCATAGTTATATAATCATGTACTTATTAGTTCAAAATATAAGTTTAGGATAGCCATAAAATTTAAAATTAATACTAGTATAGTTATTTTTATTGCTTAAATTTTTATCGTTGTAATCATTTTTATTCCATATTATCAAGTATGTTACTAAAAATCCCTTTTTTCATTATTGTTATTGATTTTATAAATTTCTTTCCTGTTCTTTTGTACTCAAAACTGAGCGGAATCTCAAGGTATTGGTCCAACTATATCAGTAGGATTGTTTACTACTCTATCTAAGAGCAATTGAACTCTTCTTTGCGTCTTGATGTCATCTCCTCGCCTTAAAATCGCGCGTGATGGGGTGCGATGGTGCCCCGAACTCGGAGTATTCAGTTCGTCTTCCCAATGAAAAGTTCGTTTTTATATCGATTTTTCAGCGCTTTTGGTAGAAATAAACAATAATTATTTTAAATAGAGTCTACCACATGCATGTACCAATTATCTACAACAAATAGCAATCAATTGAACACTTCAATAAGTTGGGAATCAACTAGAGAGGTTTGCAAACTGTAAACCTGGATTTCTCATTTTGAGCTCGATTTCAGGAACGACCTTTGTGTTTTAGCATTGTGTTTAGCCCAAATTGCAATTGTGTTCAGCATTGTGTTTAGCCCAGATTGCAATTGTGTTTACGTCGTGGCGTCCGTGACGTCTGAATACCGCGCATGATGGAGTGTGAAGATACCCGGAGCTAGGAGTCTTCAGTTCGACTCCCGCTGTCGCTCCTCCAGGCGCACGAACAGCCCGTTCTGCGACTTGAGGATGATCTCCCACACCAGCGAGGGCTCGAATCCGGGCTCCGGCAGCACTCGGAAGTTCCACACGAGCTTCGCGATCACGTTCTTCATTTCCAACATGGCGAAGCGCTGACCTGCGAGCGAAGAATGACCATTTTCACTTTTCTTTGCGCACAGCAAGTTCAATTTAAAAAAAATTATCATTATAGAGTTTGTTGGCTTGTCCGTTCTCGAATTTAGAAAATTACATGACAAAGAACAGATATGAATCCTTTTTCTTTCAAAACATTGTATGGTTCTACACAAAATTAAGTATAGGCCTACTTTTCGTCAATATGATGTATACTAAACCGGAAAGCCAATATAGAATGTTTTTTGAAATAGGTACCCCAGGTTATGGCAAAATTCGCAGTGATTCAACACTTATGGTGTCTTCGTACACTCCAAAAACAGAATTTTTTTAACCTGTTAAAACCGTTAAAACAGTGACAAGTGACCCGTCAAAACAGTAACAAGTCTTGCCGAAAAGAATCAAATGAGCTAGTTTTGGCGTCTGTAAGTGTCTTAAAACTGCCGAAAAAGGTTTAGGTGCTTAAACATTTCAAAAAATACTTTTATGGGGAATTCTCTTAGGATTCCAAAGAAAGCCAGTTTTCTACCAGAAGGCCGAGAGACAACAAATGACGTTCACTTGTTCGGAAAGGTGGACCGGAAGAACTCTAACCGTGAGACGTGTGTCGTGTTTCACGGTACACCCACGTTCGCGATTTATGTATGCTTTGAGTGTGAATTGTTTATTGTGTAGCTCATCGCTCTAGATCACTTAACTGTTTCTTATTGAATTGCTACTTCCCAAAACTGTTGCGTCTGTATCTAGCCGCCATTTTAGGCATGCATATAGAAAGCTGTAGATGCAAATGCATAGTCGACACTTACGACAAAGGAAAATCTTCCGTACAAAGTGATTGCTTTCATTATGCGGGCACTCTTAGTACTCTGAAGTTCTCAAACGTTTCTCGTGATAGCGGAATTAGTTCCTTTCTTAAATAAAAGGTTGTCTCATTTGTACCAGCTGTTTCCTAAGTGGCTTCCAAGTGTGAATATTCAATATTTTTCGAACAAAACACGTCGAGATGGACCGTAAGTGTGCACTTTTAATAAATTATCAAAATTTCTGACGTACTGTTGCGTAGTAACAGTAGTAAGAACGTCGTGGTCCGTATAGACTTAAAATTACAAAAATTCAGAATTGAAAACAGTTTTCTGGGAAATCATTCATCGTCTTTCATAGTAAACTAGTGGTGCTACAGATTGGCAGACTTCCCCGTGTTAGTCGGTGCGACAAACTTCCCAGTATTAGTTTTCTATTTCATTTAGTCTCGGTTAACTGCTCGAACTTGCCTCATACTCTTGCCAGCTACCATCTACAGCCGCGCAAAGTACATTTTATTGATTTTTTTAAATTTTCGGTTTGTTTAGAGTAGAATGGCAATATTATTTTACGAATATTACAAATTAATAAAACCTCGTCATAAATGGCAATTTTCTTTTAAAATTTGGAGCCGTTTTTATTAAAATGGCGTTTAAGCGCTACTGTAAATTCGAAATTTGAAACTCTTTTCCACAAACAAATTTGAGTTTTTCGAAAACCTTCATTCCATTTTAAACACATTAACTCGAAAATAAAGTGTTTACTAATCGCTAGAAATAAGCATGTTGACGGCGGAAGAGGTCTTTCAAATAAATTACATTTCTGTAACTTTAAAAAAAAATACCTCCAAATGAACTTTACATTATACTAAAGAGAAAAATTAGCACTATCCGTTCGAAAAGTTTGAAGAAAACATTTGGAGCTAGTTTTGATCATTTCTGAAAATGCGGAAATTTGTGCTAGTTTACACAAAAAACGGTTGAGTTTTCGTCAAACGTTACTTGACCTTATACACTCATAGATAGAATGTCAACAAATTGCCGCTAGTATGAATATTAACTACACGAGAAAGAAATAAAAAAGTACATTTTTGTAATTTTCAAAAAACAAAAGAATGAACACTATGGCGTCTATATCAATTTATAGAGTATATTTAGCACTAATAAAAGAAAAAAACACAGAAAAGAATCGACTAGCAATGAGGTATCTTCAATTATGAAAATGCAAAAGCAATCATACGGCTGCAATAGTTAGGAATGGTCAAGCCTAAACGTGAATCAAATGTATTTGTTAATACCTATGAAAGGTAGCAATGTCGAATAGGTGAATAATTAAAAAAAGGAATAGAGGTTTTGAATGGCGATTTCCAATAGTTATGATTATTCTTATTAAATGTTGCTGTATATGCCAGGATTAACCCCGAGAAAGAATATACTACATAGAGTGGCTGACCCTATGGTTTCAGCGCTCTTGGTGGACGCTCTCCGAACTAGAGGCCGTCATGTTTTTGGCAGTCAAAACATGAGAGGTGGCTGATGGTAGCGGGTAGAACTATTGTACTGATTCGAGGTGTTATTTGTATCAGATCTTATTTTTACTGTATATTGTTGCATTTTCCTTTATCTGTATTTAGATTATATTAGTGGTTGGAATAATATTCAGAATGTTTTCAGAAAATTTGGAATTTAACTAAAAATAGAAATCATCAAACCACAAATATATTTTTTCTACCTTACTGCTTTATTTGTTATGTTTGTTTGCTTCTTATTGCAATAACATTCACTTTTAGATGCTAAATGCAATAAAATTTCAACATCTTCCATTCTTATAATAATAACCGGTGCAGGATGCACGTGTTTTTAAAGTCTTTCAACTTGTTCTCGTTGCATATTGTGATTTCGTTTTCAAATAATTGGTTATTGGTCGTGAAACAGAGTAAGAGGATGCATATTACAGGCGGCCCGCGCCCAACCAACGCCAAACGGAATACTAGAATCCTTTGTTGCTCTAGAGGGTGCTGTTTGACTGCAAAAAAACATGGCTTCAATGTCCTGCAAAGATGAAGGCGCTTCAGCCATTCTATGTAGTATATTCTAGCTCGTCGATTTACTCGCATGCCCTTCTTTAACAATAATGTAGCATTCATTACTAAGTAACATCTTGCTTTCGCAGGAAGGAAATATATTATTTTTGGTAACAAATGAAAAACAACTTTCCTCAAAAGCTTCTTCTGTTTGAAATTCAGTACTATTTCTAACGCGCCCCTTCAACTGCGAGCAGATATGTACTTAAGTGGCAACATTGCAGAGTCTCTCTTACAATTATAGCTGAAGAATGTTTCGCGGAAACGTTTTGGTAACTTTAGCATTCGTGAACGATCGAGCTTTGCCATTCTACAGGTACTACAAATGCTACAAACCTCTAGGGGGTCTATGGGAGAATAGGATAATAACTTTTTGCCAATAACAAATTTAATATAACAAAGTTATACATATGACAGTTGAGTTCACTGATAGGCAACTCATCATGTGTTCGTGTTCACTAGGCACAAGAAATCATTTTAACGGCATCTGAACTTGACCTGATGAAGAACCGTGCACGATAGATAGCCTCCCAGTTGAAGCAAATGTTACGCATATGACTTCGCTATTTGGAATTTTCCTCCACGTATTCATTTGCGAAAATGGCCATCGATCGCACTAATCGCCTTAGAAGTTTCTCACATTTATTCTGAAACACTCTACATTCGCCTGTCGTGGGGCTAAGGCCACGACCATGCCACCACGGCCGTAGTTGGTACGTTGGCCGTAGCCAGTCGCGTACGCACCGATACAGTTCCGAGGGCCGGCGCTGAAGGGCAGATAGGCGTACGGGTGGCGGCGGGCACACTCGTCCGCAGAGAAGCGCTCCGGGTCGAACTTCTCCGGATCCGGGTACACGTCCGGGTTGCGATGCCAGAGCAACGGTGTTAAGATCGTGCTCGAACCTGCCGGTAGCACGGCTTGGGCTGAGGATGAAAAAATATGTCAGTGATATGGCTTCCACTACAAGAGTATTATTCTGTCGTACTGGAGCTGTAAACCAGATGAGACCATCATAAAAGTTATGCGAAAGAAATTGCGGGCAAAACAAAAAAACCTTAAAAAATATAATAAATTATAATGGCTATTCCACTTGTGAAAATAAAACCAGAACGGTTTTACTATATATATATATATATATATATATATATATATATATATATATATATATATATATAATACCACATTAGGGCGGTGAATCTCTAAACTTTATCGCTTTTTCTATCAGATTTTTCTTGCCTCTCATACCAACTGGCCAATGATAAGCTCCAATTCATGTATCTTAGGAGGCGCAATTTATCAACCGTTGTGTAGAATAAATCGCGTATGTATAATACGCTGAAGAGCCAAAAAACTGGTACAGCCATATTAAAATAATGACTTCTGGAAGCATTCAAACTATGGCGCTCCGGTCGGCACATTCAGAAGAATCAGAGTCTGGCACAACTGTAAGGTCGGTTACTGCTGCTACAATGGCTGGTTTTTACGTTTTAAGTGTGTTTTGTAGTCGGCGGAAGAGAGATGGGGCATAGCATCTCCGAAACCGCGATGAAATTTGGATTTTTCCGTACGACCATTCCACGATTGTACCATGAATACGGGGAATCCGGTAAGACATCAAAACTCATCACATCGCTGCAACCGCAAAAAGATGGTGCAAAACCGGAACCGACGACGACTGAGGAGAATAATTACACGTGACAGAAGTGCAACCCTACCGAAAATTGCTGCAGATTTCAATGCTGGGTCATCAAGTGTCAGCGTGCGAACCATTCAATGAGACATTATCGATGGGTTTCGGAACCGAAGTCTTGTTTCACATTGTGTCGATCGGATGGACTTGTATGAGTATGGCGACAACCTCATGAATCCATGGATCCTGCATGTCAACAGGGGACTGTTCAAGCTGGTGGAGGCTCTGTGATGGTATAGGGCGTGAGGTTGGAGTAATATGAGTAATATGGATACACCTAGATATGACTCTGAAAATGGACACGTACGTAAGTTTCCTGTTTAATCACCTGCATCTGTTGATGTCAATTGTGCACCTTGGCCAACTCCAGCAGAACAATACGACAGCCCACACGTCCTGAATTGCTACAGAGTGGCTCCAGGAACACATTATTGAGCATGTCTGGGATGCCTTTCAACGTGCTGTTCAGACGAAATCTCCACCCCCTCGTACTCTTACGAGTTTATGGACATCCCTGCAGAATTCATGGTGTCAATTACTTCCAGCACTACTTCAGACATTAGTCGAGTCCATGCCACGTCCTGTTGCGTCACTACTTCGTGCTCGTTCTCGCAATTCTCTTGCTTTTGAGACCCTGTTTATAAAGATTAGTTGCATGGGAGAGCCGATAAAGGTATGTATACTACTGAAATAATATAGAAGTAGATGCTACATCATCACTGAAGCCCTACCTGAAAATCAATGAGCAACACCATTCGGTAATTATAAATTAATCAAGACAGACACACAGTTCATCAAACGCATCGTATTATAAAACCATTACTAAAGGCGAGAAAGTGCGTGCTGTTTTAATAACACTATGAATAGTAACTGTTTCGACTACATTATAGTCACTATAACATCATAGTCTAAACTTCTGTCGCTGGTATTCCGTATTTCTGCGCCACAAGCTTTGTTAGCATCTCGCAGTTCATTTATTGATCAAGTTCACATTTTTTGCCACCTTAACAGATTTTCACTAAGACAAACCAAACGTTCTTCTTAACTGTACACAAAAGACTTAACCTCAAATAAACTCACATACTCGTGGAAACTTCAGACACCGGGTCATGCGATTGGCAATTAAATTGCTTTAACGTACGCGTTTCCACGATTAACATGTTCCCTTGTAGAAGGAAAGCAAATGTCCCCAAAGAAAACTAGATATTAAGTACCATTAGTATTTCGTTATTTATTCAATAATAATAATAATAATAATAATAATAATAATAATAATAATAATAATAATAATTATTATTATTATTATTATTATTATTATTATTTATTCATGTCCAGGGTAAGTTATCTTTACCGTAGTAATATTACTTTCGTTTGAAATCGACCAACCGAGCTGTACTAGTTTAGATGAAATAATTGATTACTTTACTACAGACTGACACGAATGTACTGCCGTAACTGATGTCACTTTATTACACATTACTAAATTAGTGGTATATTGTTATATGCGTATCTATTCAACTATTTTTCCGCCCTTCGATCACGTACAAACGTCTTTGATTGACTTGCTCATATTCTAAAAAATATAAAAAATATAAAATCATCAACATTTTCTCGCAGTTCGTATTCTTATTACAAATATTTTAAACTAATAGTCCAACTTTGTGTATCTTAATTCTCTATAATTAGATTGTTACGAATCACAGCTATATCTGCAAAAAATACTCACAGTCAGGAAGTACGATTTCTTGGTGAATATCTCGAGAAAACAGAGTCACTGGTGGGTATAATCGTAGAGATTCCTTAATGACCATATCCAAGTATTTCAGCTCTGAGATCTCCGAAATGTTCGGTCTTATCGGCTTAGAAGTGTCAAAGAAGCTCTTCAGTTCTTCATATATTTTTTCCTGAAAAAGCATGAGAAAAGAAGGAATATGGGATAAGCAATAAGTTTGTCATGTCAATTGGCAAAAGCAGAGCTCCAAATTTCAGTTAATATCTAGTTTATGTCCATCAATTTAAAAAAAATCAATTCTCAATGTCGGTTTCAGTGTTCTTATCTCGTGAGAACATGGTGGTTTTGCACCAAGCGAAATTAGAAGTTGAATTCTTCATACATTAATTTAAATTTTGCTTTGCGTGTTCATATGTTCCATAAAACTTTACACAATTTATTATTTTCGAAAGAACATACCTATTCCAGATCACATTTTCATTGTGTTTCTGAACATTCGATCAATAAGCATAATCGTGTTGAGACTATATTGTGACAATTACTGTCACAGTAATTGATAAATTAACTTCACTATTCAAATCGACATCGATTTCTCGTGTTTTTACTTTCCCGTATATACGGAGTAATATACGTAGTACTAGCGTACCCATGAGAGAACTCTCGCATGTTAAACCCTACCCTAACGTTTCCTAACGGTAACGTGAAACTGATAACATGGGAACATGTCACCTATTTCCATCGTAGTCCCCTTCCCAATTAGGTACACAGCACTTGTTAAACGTTAAATGAATGATTGCACTACACGCATTAGAAACAATCTTCACCGGTATCAAGCAACTATTTATAGTACTTCTTGTTGTTGCTGCGAGAGCGAATCTTGAAATAATAATTATGCAAATAAACCTCGTCAGTCTGCGCAAACCACGGTGTACACAAAGAGCGTAAATAGTATAATATAAAGGAATCTAAGTCCTCTTAGCGTTACATCACAAAGATGTCTCCCATTACCAAGGGTTGAATTGTAGGTGATATTAGTAGTATCGATAATAACCCCGAACTGGCAACAACGTAATAGAATAACCAAGAATACCTCAGAGATCACAATGTAAGTAACGTATCTTTGAGGCTTTTGACCTCGCAATGTTAGTTTTTAAGGCCCTAGAACGCTTTCTTTAGGAGTTATTTACCGATATAGCTGAGGCAGTTTGCATTTCACATGAATATTTAGAGGAGACATTTTAAACAAATGATTCATATTTTAAAAGTCGAAGTTCACCACAACTGCGTGAATTCGTGACGACTATGTGAAATTCTCCTTTTTTAGAGAACTCATTTATAAAAACGGGTTGTATGAGAGTCCCAAAAGTGGATAAATTCAGTTGCTAAATTAAGAAAAAAGAATCCTAGTTTTGTGGGTTCTTGATATCGAAAAACCAATTGACGGCAAAACGCCCGTCCGTCTGTGAACATCACTAGCGCATAAACCATAATACGTACATTTTTTCCAAAGTTGATTTTCCTCAATCAATCTGGCTCCACTCGAGGATTCGAGATTTTGAAAAACTTTTTTCACAAATTGGGGGAACTTTACATGAAACACACTGAACATTTTCAAAACTTTCTCAAAAAAGGTTCAAATACCGAAAAAATTAATTGACGGTAAAACTCCCATCCGTCCGTCCATGAGCGCTTAAATCATGCGTAGGATTTTTTTTACAATTGAGGAAACTCTGTCGATCTCGCTCGAGATGAAACTTTGAGATTTTGAAAAACATACTTTGAAATTTGGGGTACTATACAGAAAATCCCAGGGACATTTTCAAAATTTTCTCAAAATCGGCTTCAAATGTTTTCTTAGAATTTCTTGTACAAATAGAGTGTGTGTATATATATATATATATATATATATATATATATACAGAAATTATATATGAAGGTGGCATAGGTCCGATTTTTAACACGGAATTTTCGAGAATTGCAAAAGTGTTAATTTTTTCGGCGTCTTCCTCTAACTACAAAATTGAAGATAGGGGTTTCTCCTGCAAATGAAATTTATTGTCCATAATTAGTTCTTTCATTAAGGTCGTGTATATTTTTTTGAAAATTTTAGTCGTTTTCAAGCAATAATGTGTGCAATATTATTCAATTTTAAAAAATATCAAAAACAAGATTTTCTCAAAAGCGGCTCCAGATGTTGTCTTTAAAATTTTGGTAGGGGTAGTACTAAATGTACTCTAGGATATGACATAAACGCCATATTATTGTATTCTTTGGTTTTTCAAAAATTATAAAATTATAATTTTTTGGCATGTCTCTCACTTCGTTAATATTTAAATTAGCGGTGATTTGTTCTCATTATTATATTTATGAGTACTTGTGCTGTAAATAATATCAGATAAAGTTTAGCGAGAACTCAACCATTTTGTGTTAAAACTAGCTCAAAATTCCGCATTTTTAGAAATCCTTAAACGTAATTTTCTCAAAACCGGCTCCAAATTTTTCTTCAATCTTTTCAAACAAATAGTGTTAATTTTTCTGTTAATATGACAAAGTTTATTTGGGGTGTATTTGTTGTTGTTTTTTAAATCACACAAATGTATTTTTTTACAATATTTCTCACGCCCTTAATGTGCACATTTCCAGCAATTTGTAAATATTATTGTATTTGTGAGTTAAAGTGTTTGAAATTACTTTATAAGAAGGAAATTACTTTTATTTAAAGGAAATAGAAAACTAATATGGGAATGTTTGTGCCATTCTGTAGCACTACTAGTTTTTTTTAATTTTCGTGGGGAAGTGCACAAGATATTTTACCACTGTCTCCAGTACACACATTCCTCACGAAAAGGAACGCTTGGGTAACAGAAAAGAGCATCAAATTGATTACTTCCGAATATCCACGTGTTTCTTTCATATGTCTTTACCGAAACGCCATGTATACATTTTGCCTTAGCTACTGCCTAAAACTTCGTCTTTTAATTCCGAAAGGGTCCTATCTTTTTACACGTACGTTTTTTTGTAAACTAAAGAAGAAATTGGCGTTCAATATGGCGACTCAAGTAATTCATTTTCCACCTGATATTATCTTCGCAATTCGATTACTAATGACATCACCTTTGCACACGCCAATCACTGCGCCTTATCAAAGCACGATGCACTACACACAAGACGAAACAACATCGAAAGACAGGTGTCCTTCAACAGGCCAACTACGTAGTTGTTGATTTCAGCGATGAAGACCTGAATGAACACACCCTATCAGTACTCAGAAAGGGCGTAAAATTCGCTACCGTACCTACGCGAGTCCCCACATCAAGTAGTAGCCGTAGGGATCAAGTGCGCCATCACTTCGTTAACAGTCAGTCGAGGCGAGAGGACAAGGAGCTTCGAGAGGATTATGATGACCTGTCACCTTCGAACGTTTCGCAAAACAGCGATGCAGGCCAGCACAGGCGGCGTGGGCATCAGCAAGCATTCGCAGCTCTTATGCGCGATCATACTGGCTATTCCGCTGGTGATTGCCGGAATAGAGCAGAATCTCGGCCCTGGAGCGGAAACTACGGTGGACATTGCGATGAATGCCTGTCGTAAGTGCGAAAGGAGCGACCGGAGGTTTCGGAGACTAGAGGTGCAACTGGAGAAGGCTCACAAATCAATCGATGAGTTAACCTTAAAGCTCCAAATTCTGGAGCGGAAACACGGTAGCCGGGAAGGACAGGAAACTGCAAAGCAAGCCCTGGTTGTTGCAAGCCCTGCTGAAGCGGAAACGTCACCACGATATCCCTCAGAACGCGCATTTGAAGGAAAAGTGAAGATGTTTGGTGACTCTATGCATCATCATCATCAGCGGAGTGTGTGTTCTAAGTGTGATGTGGTATTTTCCCCTGCGCTGATGTAAACAATATGACGAAAGTAATCGAAAAAGTTAAAAATGATAGTGTAGAAGTGGTCTTCATTCACGTTGGAACCAACTCAACGAAGGTGCAACCAGTTTTGACAGTACGACAGTGCGTTTGACTCGGACAAACCGTAAAGAAAAAAATGTTGAAAAATATTTAGCAGAATTTTTTGTTGGAGGGGTGTCCATAACCGCAAAATATGGGAATAAAATCAGACATTTCATGAGCATGCAAAACATTTGACGGGGAATTTCTAGACCGTAACTTTTGGCTTCATCGCGAGGATTGGCGCGTGACGGACTGCTTCTAAATCAGAATGGAGCGGGGAACTTAGATCCCTACATGACGATATAATTCAATCATGTTTGCATCTACGCTTACAATAAAATATGAGTCGGGAGGCGGCGGCACCAACGGTGATGATGGGGCCGGCGGCGGTGAAGGTAACGGCGATAGAGGCGGTGGGACCGGCGGCGACGGCAGTGGCTTCACAAGGCTATTGCAGATGAACTGTCGCAGTATACAAAATAAATAAATCGAATTTTGGAATTTCGTCGATGCTTATGATCTTGATGTAATAATAGGAACTGGTTCTCGGAAGAGATAGCAAAGTCTGAAGTTTATCGTCCGAATTACAGGTCGTTTAGGAGAGATACAAATTCTAGAGGTGGAGGGATATTCATTTGAGTTAAGGATGCAGTGGATATAAGAAGAAATTGGGTCAGTAAAGAATTTGAGATGATGAGGACAGAAATTAGGGAATGTGTTAGAAATTATTGCTTGCTATAGTCCACCAAATAAAAAGTACGCGATTTTAGACACCATTTCTGATAAAGTAGAAAACGCCGATAGACATCCTACGGTTATCGCAGGTGATGTAGATATTCTAAACGCAAATTGGAAAGGCCCTGGGAGCGAAGCGAAAGTACAACGGAACTGCCCTTTTTGGGTTCCCCTGATACGGTTCCCTGGAAAGTGTAGTTTTTTTCAGAACGCCCGTTCCTCAGTCTCTCTAGCTGTCTGTACGTCTACAAATCCGTCTGTAAACAACCCTAGCGTCTAAACTATTCGTATAATTTTCCTAAAATTAATACTGCCTTTGGGCTATCTGGCATCATCAGAAACTCTGCGATTTGGAACACACTTTAAATTTTAGGTATACTTTATATAAAGCCCCTGGAACATTCTCAACCCCATTTCTAAAATGAATACATTTCTTTTCTTTTAATTTCATGTAATAATAGAGGTGAACTCACTTAAAATGATGGCGTAGGTTCGATTTTCATAGTTATCTCTGAATTTTTTTGGCTCTTTCTGCAACAATATTGAAGATAGCGATTTTTTCTTCAAATGACATTTTGCTCCATAATTAGTTCTTTAATTATTGTCCCATGTTTTCTCGAAAACGGCTCCAAATTATTTTATTTTCTGTTTATCAAAAAATAATGCTAAATTCACTGTATCAAATTATATAAACGCCATTTAGCTACAACCTCTTGTTTTTTTAATATTATACAAATGCAATTTTTTACCTTTCTCTCAGATCGTGAATATTAAGAGTTCCTAAAGTCATATATCAATTTTACTATTAGGGATCCAAGGCACAGAAAAGAGTGAGCCAAAACCGGAAAGATAGTTTAAAAGCCAAGGAAAATAACTAGTAGTACGAGAAAGTATGTGTCATTCTGTGGCGCCAATATTTACTTCTTATTTGTTCTTACTTCATAAGAAGAGAAAGTTCTGTAATTGTGGTCTGGTTTCGATTTTCTCTAAAATTGATATTCCTCAAACGATCTGAATGTACGGGTGGCTTTGGGTTTTTTTTATCAGATATTCTGACTTTTGAGGCTACTTTATATGATGACTCAAAAACATTTTCAAGATGTAAGTTGAAATCCCAAATTTGGGAGTAAATATTATTTTTCCTGTATAAAATATGATCGTTAAATAAAGATCTTGAAATAAAGTCATGTACCGTTTTTCAAAAATAAGAGTATTTTTGCGTAATTATGGGCAATTTAAGTAGTTTTTAATTTTAAATTTTTTTTCTCTAAAACAGAATACATTTTTTTAAAACCTTTCTCTTCATATATACCAAGGAATGATTAAAAATATGTTTCTTGTCCCATTTTCGGCCAACTTTTCGGCGAACTGCAAAATTGAAGAAGACTTTTGTTTCAGACAATGAATGTTCCAAATGATCAGCTCTTAAAACAAGGACATGTACAACTTTTGGTGAACCAGTATTTTCTGCGTAATTGGGCTTAAAATTATTGCAATTAATAAAATAAAGGTTGTCTCAAAAATCGCTCTAATTTTTTTCCAAATTTTTCCTAAGATAGGAGAAGATAAGGTCGAAAGAAGGCGCCGGGTTCCTTTTCGAAATAATGCTCGAAAATTTCTCAAATGTTTGATTGAAAGATTTTTGAGAAATTTTCTAAAAAACGGCACCAACACCTTTCTTTAAATTTCTTGTAAGAATAGAGAAAATAAGTTTATAAACGTGGCATACGTCAAATTTTCACGGTTAACTCTGAATTTTTGAAAATTTCAAAAGAATGATTTTTTTCGGTTTCTTCTTATAACTACAAAATTAAAGTTAGAAATTTTTCCTTCAAATAAAATTTGTTCTACATAGTGAGTTCATCCATTACGGTCCTGTACATTTTTTAAAAATTTTAGTAGTTTTCGCGCAGTATGAGCAATTTAAAAAAATACAAAAACAATATTTTCTCAAAAAGATTCCATTTTTTTAAACTTTTGGTAGGGATAGTGCTAAATACTGTAGAAGATGCCTAAGCTTTCTATAAGATGACATAAATGCTACATTGCTGTATTCTTTTGTTTTTTCAGAAATTATAAAAATGTAATTTATTTGACTTGTCTCTCAATTTTTAAACACTATTTAATTTATGAATTAAAATGCTCAAAATAACTTCTTATTAAGTTTTTTGAAAATTCAAAAAATTGTTGTGAAAAAGAGCTTCAACTTTTGAATATGCGCGCCATTTTCTTAACGGTTCCAAATTTTTCAAAGGAAATTGCCATTTAGGGCGATGTTTTACTATTCTTTAATATTGTTAAAAAATATATTTCTGTTCTACTATAAGAAAACCGAAAAATTAAGAAAATTTAAAAAAATTAATACGTGCGGCGATTGATGGCAAGTGGCAACAATATGTGGCAAGTTCATGTAGCAAGCGGTGACCATACGAAATATAAAACGAATGTGAGAAAATCTGTGCTGTTCTGGAGCACCACTAGTTTAAAAAAGCTAGTGGTGCTACAGAAATTTAAATTTTAAATTTAGATATTTAAATGAGATCATGGACATTTTTAAAAGATATGAGTAGTTTCGCGAAGTTTGAGTATTTTTAATTGTAAGTTAGATTTCCCCGCTCTTCTTTTCCTGAAGTTTTATCATATAGAGCTTGAAGTTAATAGAAAGGTAAATCGTAAAAATACTCGTAATGGACTATAACCTTCAAGTATTGCGCATCCAGTACAGGTCCAAATTGTTCAATGAAAATTTGCAGAAATGTTCTGGTTTTACACTTCTATATTATTCTCAACCAAATGTCAGTTGTGCTATTAGGGGACGGAAAATGTGAAACAATGTCTTGGGGTGGAACAAAAACCCGGACTAAAGTGTACTAGTTAGTAAACTAAATAGTGCGTTAACTGTCTAATACGAGAAAATCTGTCTCATTCTTCAGCACTACTAGTTATTTGTTTATATTTCACAGACGTTTCATTTAATTTTTTGAGCTGAAGATGAGAAAATACCACAAAAATGTGTGACGTTCAAATTAGAATAGCATTTGTAAAAACACGATTATTTGAAATGACAACTGTTTCCTCCTTCACCAAAATGGGAAGAGTTTATATTTTATCTAATATTTCCATTTCCGTCGATTCTTGGTCATACTTCGACCAGATTCCCATGATTCAGTAAGTTAGTGATTGTATTTTAATGACACGATCGAATGATCTATTTCATTGTGCACAAGGAAATATTTTAATTACTTACTTGGACATCAGAGTGCCGTGAGAGCAGGAAGATGGTGAAAGAAATTCCAGCTGAAGACGTATCATGCCCCTGAAATATATTCAAAATATTTTATGTAAGGTTACTAATATATCTACAATAAAAATTACTCTGAACTTTCAGAACTACCCGCAAGTAGAATGTATACCTATTTTTATGGTTTTATTTATAAATTATATATCTAATGACTAGATCCCGGAAGTTTGGCAAAATGCTCTTTTTGTTGGTATTATTTTAGGATTTTGACAATAGAAATTACTTAATTATATTTCTGTGGTTGTTTTAGCAGATTTTTCTTTGAACGCCCACATATGTGTCTCAACTTGTAGATATTTATATTAGAATGGCATCAATAATAAACGAAGACACCTACAACTTGAGCTGGAAAATTTACAGGGTGATTCATTCCTTTTTCTTCTTCGGCATTTCATTTTCCCCTTCTGAGCTTGCCATTTTCACCTTCCACAACTCTCCGACGTCCCAATCTCCTGCTTTGAGGACTTTAATCCATAGCTTATGGAATATATATTTCCCATTCGAAGTTTGGTCTTCCTCTTCTCCTCTGAGCTACTTGCCACTTTAAGATGTTGTGTGGCTATATGTTCTTAAACATTCCTTGAACATGTCCCTATCATTGTAGAGCTCTATTTTCTAAGGTCCTCGTAATAGAACAAATTATATTCATCCTTCTCCCTATTTCATTTCGCACTCTGGCTACTGTCCTAATCGTATCTCTTATTTTTTGTTCGTGGCCACATTTCCGCTCCGAATAGTACTATACTTCTCCCACACAGTGGAATATCCTGTTTTGACATTTTGACTAATATAGTTATTTCATAATGTGTCGTGTAAAACTTTAGTTGCTTTTTTCCCATAATTACTCTTGAGTTAATATCTGTGACACATATATCCGTGTTGTTAAAACATAACTACAGGAACACAAAAAAACTATTTTTAAGATCTATGACACATCGTTTTCGAGTTTTGCTCCTTGGTAATCTATGTTACAGCTTAATGTGTTTTGCTTGTTGCATGTGCGCCTGATACTCTGCGTTGTTTTTCGTGTTAAATCTGATTGATGCGGCCCTGAGAGTTAATTAACTACCCAACAGAAATACTCTTTCGGTGATTTGCGGACATGGTTTTTATAAGAGTATAGAAGGGATTCCAAGTTTCAATGAATAGTCTGTATTATAATTTTATCCAACAATTATAAATTACTCGAGAAAGTCTGTGTTCTGTTACTACTCGACTACTTTAATTTTATTTGAGAAAATCGTATCTTCCTTTTAATATAAAATTGTGTAGAATGTACGATTGATGTGCGGTGGAGGGACGTACCTCGAAAAGGAAGGTGTCCACCTCCTCGCGGATGTCCATGTCTGAGAGACTTCCGTCGCGCGCCATCAAGATCAGAAGGTCCAGAAACACCAAGCGCCGCCGCCGCCCTGCCAACAAAAGGGGTTTTGTTTATCAGTGAACGAAGAAAACAATTTAACCGCCGGATTCTGTCACGAGCAATGTTTACATCTGCCGTACTGCAGAAGGATTAAAAAAACACAAACAACTAACGAATACCAGCCCATATTATTAATATGACTATATGGCAATGTATACGAAACTATTGCGGTTGCCGATATTAATGAAATGTTATAGAAATGAAGAAAATCATGTAGATGAATTAAATGTGGGATAATATGATTGAATAATTGAAATGTTCTCCCTATTGCCGCAAGTCAGATTTAGTTATCTTTAATAGGGCAATGCATTACCTTTTTGTTGTTTAATTTTTACCTAAAGCTGGTTGAATAGACGATTCAATGAAATGTGGACTTTAATACTGTAAACAGAAACACAAACAATTGAATGGAATATTATTTTTTCCTACATGTTTACTTCATATTTTAACATTCGCAGAGCATTCCGTAAAAGAGAAGAAAGCCACACAACTCTGATGCGATACGAGAAAAAAACTGCAATTATGTAAAGTAATTCTCAGTAATACGAACACTTAATCTGCCATATGAACGCGCAGGGTTTCTGGTATTGGGGTCTCCACTGCTGTCGGAACGTAAGTCAGTGATATATCGTCCCATTTGTGGCCAGGATATAGTTGTTTAACTGTTAGAGAACAGTGTGCGTCTTTGCGGCTACGTCATACCTAGTTCATCAGCGTCCAGCGTTCCTCCTTCTTCCTCCAACATTAGTAGATCCTTCCTCCGCTCTCGAATCATCTGCAATTAACAAGGCGAATGGAGCTTGAAGATAAACGGGCTTGAACATAAATTGCACATGTCATTGCCTTAGATATTATTGACATTATTATTATTATTATTATTATTATTATTATTATTATTATTATTATTATTAATCGAATGCGCAACTAAAGATGTTATGAGTCGGTTGAATATAAAATTTATTTCGAGTTGCTACTAGCTTCTGAAGGAGCAGATCTCTCTGTGTCTCTACAACACTTTGCGCAAATGGTGGTCTATTCCAAATAAATTTTTAAATTTGTATACTTTGCTTTAAGACATTCAAGTGACAAGTACTTATTGCAATCGCCTTTAGTTCTTAAATGTATAATTACGGTTATTTATATCTAACCTAATTATCGTATTTAACTCTTAAAACAGTTGTTACCTGATGAAGTGATCCTGCAGAGCAAAAGAAGTAATGCATACAAAAGTTCCATAAGAAAAAATACCACAGATTTAGTGTTAAATTTCACAAAGAATTGCAGTTTCAGTTTTTTCGAAGAAAAAAAATTTCTCAAGAAAATTGAGTTTAAATTTTACTTGTTAACGCGAAATTTAAACAATAAAAACATATCATTATATTAAATAATATTATAGAATATTAATATTGTAGAATATATTATAGAATGATAATATTAAAGAACTCTAGTGTGCGATAGGCGATGTATTTCACTCGGCAGTTTTACCGAAAACGCGGAGAAACGACGCAATGCGTCAGTCCCCTTTTACCAGAATGTTATTAGAAAAATTGAGCTAAAATATAGCCAATCAATTCATCTTGTCGAAAAATCAAATTTGTTGATCCTCTTTAAGGGCGCAGTTAACTTCCTCAAAGTGCACTCCAGGAGCTTAAGCCTCCCCATCACATTTTTTCGATAACATATAATAAAATAAGTCTTAATTATCAATCAATCATGGACCAAGTCCTAACGATTCATGTAAATACCGGAAAGATATATTAATTCACAGCTGTTCGCCAATGTACTCATTGATGCATTGAAACCATCATGAACACGTGTGGTTTTAGAATTATTTCAGAATACACTAGAGTTACACCTCTGTTTGAAACCAGATACTTTATTTTGAATGAAGTATATTCTTCAATATTTAACTTAAAAGTAATTTAATCTACATTTTTTGCAAATATTATTACTTATGTGTAATTTTGAGTTATATCGTTCGAGTTTTTCAAATAATGCCTGAAGTGATGTAGAATAGAAGGGAATGTGCTATTATATATGAAAAGGACGTAAAGGAACGAAAAACGAGAAAGTAGTATGTGCTGTTGTATAATAACTAGTCATTATTTTGAAAATATATTTTTTTAATTCTACGGAAGTGCTCACCCGGTCAGTTGTACCGTGCAGAACGGACAGACATTTCTTGTACCTTCGCCCGGCAGGTGTGAGCCAATAGATCCAGTCAAAGAACAACCATGGTGTAAACATCCTTACAGCTGTGAGACGCAGCAACCTACATAAAGTAACCATTATCACTTTCTTTTTTGTAAAAGTGCTGTATTTATTATGAAAAATAATTCTAATGGTTAACTTAATAATTATATTTATTATTATTGTACTTATTACTAATGTTTTTAATATTGCAACGATTTTCTTTTCTATTGAATGATCAGCCTCTCTCCATGGTTTTGTGGCTCTTATGAAATCGACTACCTGGGTGTCAGAACCAACGAAATTTGCTAGGATTCACATGAAAAATAAATTCGTTAGTAACGTTTAGCATTGTTACTTCCTTACTATCAACAATCCAAGCTTGCATATAAATCGTGCATAGTTTGTTAATACTCACTCGGTCAATGCCTTCACATACTCAGAGTTTCTGTCTGTTTGTGCATTGATTTTGTAGCCTATTGCTGTCTCTGAAATAGACAAGAAAACATAAATTAAGTACTCGTAAATATGTTTTGTTATAAATCAATAAATATTCATTTTACCCAACATGAATATCTAAAATAATGATCTGTTTGGGATCGCCAGATTTAATAATTATGCTATGATGAAACCTTTCACACGTTTCCCTGCAACTACGTATCTAATCATCAAACATTCGCACATTATTTACTTCCGAAATCTTTTTATAACCGAGAAAGCGCATTATACTTTTTTAAATAATATGAAAGATTGGCGCGCCCAAAGGGGGCTCATGGGCTTTCAGCCTTTTAGGAACCAATTATACACATTAAACAATATTTATTTAATTATTTTATGTCCTAAAGTCATCCAATATATGCATTGTTTACTTCATTAACATTGACTATAATAAGTCACACTTAAATTCAACATCAATGAAAAATTTTTTTGAGGACACATGTTGGCTGGCCTAATAGTTCTAGCCCATCCTTCCACCCCTCGATATCATTGTCGAATATCATTCTCAAATCATTGTTGCACCTCTGATTATATTATTTAAAAAGGTAATAGGAAAATTTTGTACCACGCGCTTTAAAAGTGAAACTTAAGACATATGAATTAGTCAATTGTGGAATAATATTTTTTTAGCCCCGATGCAAAGAAACAAGCATTTACTATTGTTAACTATTGGTTGGAAAGTGTTGCTTTGGCGCACTGGCTTACTTGTCTTGCCAAACTGTTGCTTTGGCAAAATAGACTTCGCCATATGTATACTGCAAGAAAGCCGTGGTAGGGTGTATTAAAAAAATATTTTTTGTTAAAAGCATCGCTATCCAGGGATTTGTTCATTCCTTTTACTCGTATCGGAGAGCACAAGAAGTTTCAGACTTCCTTTAATAAGAAACTTTGCTTGTAAAACCCTAAAACTATTAAAAGTTACAAAAATGTAAAATGAACAAATTCATCAATTCTTTATGGTTACCAAAGTGTTAAAAGTGATTTATATGTTGACATCATTATGTGTACTAATATTATAAACAAAATAGTACTTACTGATCTCTTAGCCTCTTATGACTTGAGTAAAAAGAAGCATAAAATGAATAGAGCCAAAAGAAGCATAAAAGGCAATTTGCACTAATTCTGTACTTACTTGATTTTGGCCACATCGTACGACAGTTATTGTATGTTCAATAAAACGACTGTTGAAGAAGAAAAATGTAAAAAATGGCGTGATAAGTTAAAAACAACTGCATGACACGTAATTTTAAGGTAAAACTATTACATATTCACAGTAATTATTAGTCCAAATAAAACAATGTACGCTTTCACAGCTGAATATATTATTAATAATACCTTCCGGGCTAGATAGCCGTGATCTATTGGACTTTCTGAGCCCAAATGTTTCTGTGTGGCTACTGGTTACACGCAGTGTCCTTTCAGACAGCTTACTGGTGACCGGTTAACTTTTCTTCTTCATTACAGCTCGGAAGGTATTGTTAATAACACTAGTTTACAAAAAAATTAATATGAGAAGAACCAAACACAGTTTCTAGAAGATAATTTGCCTCTTAATCGAGATCTAATTTCAGAATTTCTGTATCAGTCTCAGTTTTCATGTGATGATAGATTTTACAATTGCATGTGTCTCCCTACATACTCGTATTATATGTATCAAAATGACACACTATTAACAACAGATCCACACGTAAATAGGACGAAATACTACAAAATAAGTTTTAAGAAGAGTGAAGAGGAGGCTTAGAATATTTCCCAGGAGTCTTAAAATGGAGGGCCGGCATTATATCTCGTCCTCTGTCTTCTGAATGTTCGAGACTGTAGCATTCTTCTTAATTAACTAGCACGTTCTCAGAAGGTAGTGGGTAGTGATACCAGGAATTCTCCACAATGACAGGCCTTATAGCAGATGGTCAATTATAATATTGCAACAGTTTTTCTAGTTTTTGCGGTGATTTCGGCTACTTGTGACAGGCAGAAATAACTGTCTCTTGTGTGATCCGTTCGTTCCCTCCAAATCATGGGAACAGCAAAGGGCATTTAGCTTGAACCTGTTAATCAGCTGTCAGGAGTGTGACGTTATACACTACCTATATGGGAGATTAATTTCTAATTCTGGACCCCTACCTTACACCTGAAATAAACTTCATAAAACTTCTTTACCAGAGGATTAAGTTTCAAGTTATGCGATTTCAGTTAATTCTTCATAGATATAACATCACATTTTTGAACATTTTACACAGCTACGAGGCATTTATTGTTCTGAATTAATATAAAGCACAAATCTTCCCGAACTTATAACAAGCATTCATATTCAAGCCCCTTTCCACACTGTCAGTTCTTTCAATACTGGGACAAGACACGCAAGAATCACAACGCGATTCTATCTTTTGGAGCACGACTTATCAGGAATGTTGCGAACCCTTTTTCATTTACTAAAGATGAATTTTTTGAATTTAGTGTCATATATATAGGGATTTTTGAACAAATTTTGATTATTCCTTAACAAATACATCTGTAGAATTATTAAATGAAGCTACTCCAAATTAACCAATATGCAGTGTTTTCAACCATTTTCTTAAATAGAGAGTAGCTTGTAACATGAAAACTGAGCGTAATACGTAAGAACTGACTTGATATTCGAATTCAATATGAAAGTGTTAGCTAAGAACACCATTCACATTCGTTGTTACAAAATGCTGTTGACAAGTGAAATTGGTCTAAATAACTTTTAAATATGTTCATAGGTGTTAAATAATATATCTCCAGAAGTTTGATTGTCCCGTGTACTCAATTCCAAAAACGGCAATTAAAAATTGGGGAAGATTAGGCAAACTCAGGTTGTATTTATTGTACATCCTCATGGACCCTCAAAACATGAGGCTACACTACAAAATGATCAGCAGCTCTTGTGTCATCGAACCAAACCTTCCAAAAGTCAGTGTTGAAAAAACATATTTGATGCATTTTTACTTTATCGTTTACGTAGGTATATATGTAATATATGTAGTATAAAGAAAGATATGTAATGGTGCAGCAAATAGATTTCGAGATTTCAACGAAAATACATTTTAAGGTCTCATGATACCGAAAAAATGTTGATTTTTCTCTTTCAAAAACTCCGTCCATGTGCCTTTCTGTCAAAATTAATCTAAATTAATTAATTATATAAATTAATATTTTTTCGGTAAATCGACAGTGGCTAGAGCCCTCCGATTTTGGAAATATTTCTTTAAATTTTGAAGGTGCATTCCATGAAACCCCAGGGATATTTCCAAAATTTTCTCAAAATGGGCTTCTTTTTTCTCTTTAAACTCCATGTAAGAATACAGTGAAATACACTTATAAAGGTTGCATAGGTTCTAATTTCACTGTTATCTCTATATAAATGAAAATTACAAATGTTTGAAATTTGTTTGACCAGTTCCTTCATCACGACATTGAAGATAAACATTTTATTTCAATTATTTTTATATATTTAGTTCTTTATTTCTTGATATTTATATTGTATATATTGAAATGTACACTTTTGAAAAAGTATTAGTAATTTCAGTGGAATGTTGAGTAAAACAACAGCAATATTAAACATATTGAAAATATTTTTTTCAAAAACTGCTCAAAACGTTTTCTTTTACCGTTTTGTAAGGATAATGCATAATATCCCGTAAAAGTTTTCTGTACAAATAATCTCAAAATTCTGCAGTTTCAGAAAGGCTCAAACGACTTTTCAAAAACTTGCAACGAAAATTTGCATACAAATTTTTCTATAATGTTCTTAGTTATACCATTAGGGAACAAACAATTGCGAAAATGAGAAAAATTACTATTAGGCAGCAATAAATGGCAGGTGGGTAGAGAGTGAGACAAAACTCCAAAGCTAGCCCAGATTAAAAATATCAGAATATCAAATAGAACGAGAAAACATATGCCATTCTATAGCACCACTAGTTATTTTTTCGTACACGTCCGTATATGCCTACGCCATCCACTCCCTCTGTCAGTCAGTCAGTGAGAGAGAGACTGACGCGCTTGTGTTGTTTACAACGTTCGTTTGTAAAAAACACGAGCGCCTAAAATATTCGTAGGATTTTTTTTCCAATGAATATTCCCCGATTGATCAGGCCGGGACTCAAAGCCTGGTGGTTTTCATTTACACATTTTTTTACTTTATCGCACTTACTTTACTTATCGCAATTTTCGATCCAAAAACTCTTTATTGCCGGGTCCTGGTACGGGAAAAGTGGATAAATCCAGTTGCTAAATTTAGGGGAAAATGTCTGTCCATCTGTGCACAACGCAAGCGCATAAACCGTTTATTCGATTCTCTCCAAAATTTATATTCCCCAATCGGTCTAGCTGATGTGTCGAACCCTGGAATTTAAAACCGATATTTAATTTTGGAAGCTTTATATAACGCCTCTGATACATTTTCATTTTTTCAAAAAATGGCTCCAAATTGACTGATTAATTTTTGTTATTGAATAGCGCATGTTAGTGAATATTGGAAAGACGTTTAAGAGAATGGTTGAGGTTTTATTTTTGTTGATATTCCCAATTTTTCGAAAATTGAAAAATAATTTAAACTTCAAAATTGTATATGGAAATTTTTGTCTCAGACAGTCTGTTGTACTGAATTAGCTCTTTAAAAAATATAATGTGTAAATTTTTGATATAGAGAGTGGTTTGTGTGTATTTTGCGATAAAATTTACAATTTTTTCTGAAAAAACGCTCAAATTTTTTCTTTGAATTTTCATTCCTAATGTAATAATAGACGGTAAAAATATTGTGGTAAATCTATTTTCGGGTATTGCTAGGCTTTTTGAAAATTAATAAAATAATTTTAAAATTACAAAATCGAAGGTAGAGATTTTTGCTTCAGACAAAGTCTGTTGTACAAAATTAGCTGTTCAAAAAACATCATGTACATTTTTTGAAAAATCGATTAGTTTTTGCGTATAATGCGATTAAAATTTACAAAAAAAATTCTCAAAAAAATCGCTCCAAACTCTCTCTTTAAATTTTCTCCACATATGTAATAAGAAACAGTAAGAAATATGGCGCTAGTCTCAGTTACGTTTTCCGAAGATTGCAATAACTTTTCAAAACTACAAAAATTAAGCAGAGATTTTCCCCACAAAGTCTGTTGTACAAATTTAATTCTTCAAAAAATATCATGTACAATTTTTTTTTGAAAAAACTAGTCGTTTTTGCGTAAATTTCTTGAAATTTATGAAATATATACAGGTTTCACACCAACTACAACACCGAGAAAAGTTGTTTTTATTTATTTACGCCAAAAACAGTTGAAATCTACGTACTAAGGGGAGTATTTAATTGGAGGGGACATTTATGTCCAGAAGCAAAATAAGGGGCCATATCAGCATTTGATCAGGGAAACTAGACGAAAACCTAATCGAGATGGGGGTCATTGACCCAGAAGCTGAAGTACAATACTTGATACAGGTTCTTTAGAAGTATGCAATCCAAATTGTAAATAATACACTAAATGTAGTTAAAATTAATATTACTTTCCTTTTGGATGCTCGGTATTGTCTCTAATTGTATAGAAGTCTCTAATTGAATGAATGATACGAAAAGTAATTAATTTAACTTTAAATATAATATCCTATTGAAAATGGAAGTATTGATTATATTTTTCTTTTCTCGCTTTTTTACTTTTAAACCAATATGTATTCTCATTGCATTAATGCATTTCTTTTAAAACAATCCGCAAAGATTAATAAAAAGTTTCTCAAAAATGCCGTATCGATTGAGAGGCACTTATATTGTTCACATCATCTTGTCTCTTTCGAGAAAACGTGGACGCTCTCTTTATTGAAAAGCAATAATCTTTATCCTATCTGAAGTGAGGATGTTGGAAGTCGGTTATGAATTGAAATGCTATCGGTTCTGTTCTCTTACGACGAAATACATCTCACAAAGGAGTAGACAGAATGCTACTAATTTTTATGACGTCAATTGATTATATTCTAATTGCTGTATTGATATTATTAATCAAGCGAATGCGCACAAATGCTGCGCTGGCAACTGTACATTGGTCACAGGTTGGTTGAAATGGTACGTTGTGAAATACTGGTTCAGGTGTTAGTAGCGCAGAAAAGGCAATATTTCAATATTAAGTAACTTTTTCGAATAACGCAAACAAGTATGTGCTGTTGTAAAAGCACTAGTTAAATGTTGAGGCACTTTAGAGACATGTTCAAAATTTAATAAAATATTGCTCCATTTTTTTTAAATGTCTTGTAAGAAGAGGCTTCTATACACTTATAAAATTGAGTGCAGTGAGATAAGTTGATCCCCTGAGCAACCCTAGCCGGTTGCTAGAGTTAAAATCGCCAAGTGCAGCAGAGTTAGTGGGCCGCGCCTACCGCAGATGACGTCGAGCGTGAGCAGCTTGACGTCCTCCCAGACGTCGAAGCCCTTGGTCCCGACGCGCGCGCGCATCTGCTGCACGAAGACGTCGCTGCAGCTGTTGAAGACCGGCACGAACTGGTCGATGATCTTGAAGTGGAAGGCGGGCGTCAGCGCCTTCCGACGGGAGCGCCATTTTTCTCCTATACTCAACAACAAAAGAAAAATAGATGAAGCGATTTATTAATGTTGCTATATCGCTTATGCGATATGAAGCGCGATTTATGCGCTGATGCGATATGTTGATGAGGCGATACATTGTTGGTGCGGTACGTCCATGTTGCAATACAATGATGCGGTATATCGATTAGGTGATACATTTTTTATGTAGCATGAAGAAAAAACATTGGGATCTAGTTCGCTGCATCGAACTTTGTTCCGTATGACCACAACACAGTAACTTCGTTTGAAAATTTAGACTAGACGCTGGCTGCCATGTTGCATGGAGAGCGAGAAGTGTTGACAAACAATTTGAAAGAAGCAAAAAGTGAGAATTTTGAACGGCGATCGTCCAAAAATAAACCGAAGGTGGAATTGAAATAAAAGATGCAATTTTTTAATGCTTCGTAAACGAGGGTCACTCCGAAAGGTTTGAGAATACTATATTTAAAATCGAGATAACAAATTCTTACCTTCACAACTTCGCGAAGTACTCTTCACCACACTCATGCAACGTTTAACCGATTAAATCAATTATCAATTGACGTTCGCCACACTGCTTTAGAGATACTGCGAATCTGATCTTCATATGCAGTAACTGTAGCCTGCGCTGACTCGAAACGATGATCTTAAATTTTTTCTTTCACATAATGGAAAAGAAAAGTCACACGGGACCAGATCTGGACTGTAGGGTGGATAAGACAGTGTTTTAACCCTTGATTCTGTCAGAAATTCAGTTGTTGCTCTGGCTGTATTGAGGCGTGGCCTGGGGCCTGATTTCGGACGGTTCTTTCTTAGCTCTCCAAACAATCTGGGCTAGCAGATTGTAGTGTACGATCTTGCAGTGTCTTGTGTTCCTCGAGTGGCACTGTCACAATATGACCACTGGCAGAGAAAGAACAAATCATCATTTTTCCAACGCTTCTGGGTTTTCCACTTTCGTTGGAGGGTTTTCATCTGGGATGTCTCACGCTGATAACTGCCGTTTCATTTCAGGATCAAATTGATAAATCTAGTTTTCATCACCCGTCATGATGTTAAATTTTTTTTTGATCTTCCTCCATTGAACTTATTCAGGGTCTCACGACACCAATCTAGTCGCGCCCTTTTTTGTTCATTTGACAGATTGTGCGGGATCCAGCGACAGCACAGCTTCCTAACGTGAATCTTTTCTTTCAGGATCTGCCTCACTGCTGCTGATCCGATATTTAAAGCTTCCTTAATTTGAGCATATGTATAACGAGTCTTCCCTTAGCAAATGTTCCACTTTCAAAATATTTTCATCCGTTGTTGCTGCTTTGGGCCTGCCAAAACGATCTTCATATTCCAGAGTGTCCCTTCCCCTCTTGAATTCAGCAAACCATCGATAGGCAGTTGCTTGTGAAAGGCAACCATTGCCTAACGCACGCTATAATCTCTCGAGGCATGATTTCTTATCTAAGCCAACCTTAAAGTCATGCAAACTCATAGCTCTGAAATGCTCTCTCTTTAGGTCCATCTTTACTGGCAGAGGAACAACAACTAATAGAACACAAATAGTATTTCTAAGTTAATAAATTACCCGAGCGTGTTCAAACTTGCACGAGATTCTTACTAAACGTTCCCCCTAACAATGGAAATATTTTCATTGATGCTTATTCTCAAATCTTTTGGAGTGGCCTTGGTATATGTTTCCATGATTTACAATAAGGAGGTAATGTTGGTATCTGACTGCATTTAAAATTCCCGTTAATACTGTTATACAAACTGGTACCTGAAGCTAGTGGGCTGAAGTTGTGTACGATGTGCCATAGCTCGCCCATGTTTTATCATCGTTACATATTTACTTGTATTAAAAGGTTTTATAAATCGAATAAAATACACTATTTTGCAATAGGTTTTTTGTCAGAATTTTCTACAAGATGACGAAGAGAAACGCTAATTGAGCTTTTTAATTCACTCTAAGAAGTAAGCCTCTATGGTGTTTGACTTGCAAACTTGCATCTATGGTGTTGCATGATTTCAATGAATGAATCACTTGCTGGGTAAATGTTAGAAATTAAAAACAATCTATAAAAATGTCTATTAAATCAAAAACTCGATATCAGAATCATCATCAAGCATCCTTTCAAGTGATTCCCAAAGTGCTAGAACTGAAAAAGAGAGATTATTTTACATGTCTTGAATATCAAATAAAAGTATTTCTTTGTAAGAACGTTTTAGGAGGCAAAGATTCTGTTGTAAAGATATGGTCAAATGATTAATTGTTTACAGATTCCGGGCGTATCAATTATCAAGGTGAATAGTCGCCCAAGTGTAGTGCATGTTAACCCGGTGGTCTTCCCTCCAGATCCGGTGACGACCTACCCGTGGGAATGCGGATTTTTTTCACAACCACATATCTCACGAGGGATGATCAACACATGGGGCAGGGGCTATTCTAAGCGGGGCATTCCTAATTTGCACCTATTTACTAGGAGCCCTTACTATAATAAATGCCAAACATGGTCTGAGTTTCCCCATCACATCCAAGAAGTTTGGGGAAGACAACTCTGCATTGGCCTCCTTTTATTTAATTGCATTAGGCGGACAGTTACTGCGTCCATTTATATTTTCCACCCAGAGCCATGTTCGTAAAAAGATATGTCAAGAAATAGTGTTTTTGAGGCATGGAGTACTTGAGCTGAATGTGAAAACTTTTACTGCATGCAATGTAAAAGAAAGATGTATGGAACGGATCGCTGGACTGCTTTGCAATAAGCGATTCTGATAAATGCCGTTTTTAAAATTTATTTTCTGCGTGTTTGACTGTACAAGTCTTTAAGGGGTTTTAAAAATTAAAATTAATTTTCTTGTAAGAGTTGGGCACTCTCACGTTAAATACCGCTCATGTGAATCTAAACAATATGTTTTACATTGAATGTGTGAATTAAAGATTTGTTATATATCAACTCAAATACCTCATTTAATTTAATCATGGTATTCTGTGATTTTTCATGTATACTAACCAGTTGAAGTGAGTAAACCTGTTGCCAACCATGGATGAAGAAATTTGTAGAAAATTCCTTTATGTATGTATTTGTATCCTGATAAAAGCATCTGAAAAATCAAATTGACGGTTTTTAGAACGTATGCAATCCATTTCCTGATAGTAGATTAAAAATATTAGTTTAAGAAAATTATAGAATATTCTCAAGTGTAAATTTACGTTGAAACATTTGGAGCCGTTTTTAAGAATACGCTGCTTAACCGCTGGTGTAGATGAAAAATATGTAACCTTCGCAAACCTTTGGGTTTTCGAAAAATTAGAAGTCATTTAAAGCCCTTCCACTCACAAATGCATCAATGTATACAAATCGCTTATTAACTGAAAAACCTTAACTTATGAAATGTGTTTATTAACAGCGTGAGAACAACTCAAAGAAAAAATATTCAAGTAATTTTTAAAAGAAACAAAAGAATGCAGAAAATTTATTTTTATGTCATATTAAACAGTGCATTTAATACCATTTGTAGAAAACGTTTGAAGTCTTTTTTTATAAAATGACGTTTGAGCGTTTCTGACTGCGGAAATTTGAACTTATCAGAAAAGTTTTGAGTTTGCGATAAACTTTATAAGACATCTTATAAATTCAATAATGTAAACTAATCGCCGCTAATGTAAATATTAATGACGTGACAGACAATTCAAAAAAATTACAATTAGTAATTTTTCATAAAACAAGAGAATACAAATGGCGTTTAAGTCGTCTTATACAGTGCAGTCAGCACTATCCCTACCAAAAGTTGAAAGAAAATATCTTTCCGATCTTTGAGCAATACGTGATTTTTTTGCACATATTTTTTTGTAATGTTATGCGAAAGCTATTAAAATGTTCAAGCAAATGCACATGACATTTGTGACGGTAAATTCGGACGCATCACAATCATTACTATACATATGCAATAAGATAAATAAAAACTGACGTGTTTAATAAAAAAACAGTCAAAGGTGCAAAAGTGGAAGTACAAAGTGTTTATTTCTAAAAAAATCCAAGGATCTATGCTGATAGTAGACCTAGGAAGAATAAATAAATAAATAAATAAATAAATAAATAAATAAATAAATAAATAAATAAATAAATAAATTAAATAAATAACCGTTTAGGAAGGATGCACAGTCATTCGAACTCTAGGTTATTATATAATAATGAAAACCTTTTATTAAATGTATGAATGTTAGTATGTTTGGAAAGGACAAGTGAAGGATGTAAGAAATGGACGATTTCACAAACGTTTAGACAATAAAATATTAGAAATTTATAAAATAGGAATGGTAATTAAATTTATTATTTGAAGTTTAATTAGAAAGTATTACAATGAAGAAATTGTGGAAACCAAAAAACATCTAAAATTGGAATACGAAATGTACAGCGAGTTTGACAGAAGAGAAGAGCTGTCCCTATGCCCTGTAGTTGGCGCCAACCCCACAACCCAAACCATTGAAACCATCACCAGTCGTTTGTACCTGGTTTGTACCACAAAAACATTCTTTTGTACCAAAACCACTTACAAGCTACAGCACTTTTTTAATGGTGATGCCAACTGGCACCGCCACTGTCAATGCTACTGGCACCGCCACCATCGTAAAAATATATGAAAATATTATAAATCGTTTGTACCGGATAGTTCCACCAGAATTTTCGTTTGTACCAGAAAACTAATGAAGATACAACCATGTTAATGATGCGGCGGGTGGTGAACCGGAACTCTGCCACCATTCTCGTCACAGCAACCGTCGAAAATCGTAAAATCATACTAAATCAATTGTACATGGTTTGTACCGGATAGTTCCACCACAATTTTCATTTGTATCAGAAAACTAATGAAGATACACCCATTTTAATGAGGCGACGGGAAGTGCATCCTACCTCCACCACCATTCTTGTCACAGCAACCGTACAGAAATGTGAAATCATACTCAATTAATTGTAGCAGGTTAGTTACAATTAATGTAAATACAGCCATTGTCAAAATACAGCCCAAAATACAGCCCGGTGATGTTTGATAGCGCATTTCTAACCATAACATTAGCGTTACCATCCACGGGAAACCATTTTCAATCGTTTCTACCGGACGTTTTCCGTTTTTTCCCCCCAGAATATGTTTTTACCAAACTATTGGTATCAAATGATTTACTGAAGTACGTCCTTTCCAACAAATGTTAGTTCTTCTAGAAATCTCTATGTTCGTGTGAGCAAGACCTTCTTTTCTGTTTCTTTTTTGGGGTGTGGCGAGCAACTGGTTATCATGGCTAATGGTAGGTAGAAGCGTATACGGTTCTACCTTTCAATATAGTTTGTTTATACTATTTACCGATATTTCGCCTCCGTCCCTCTTTAGTCTGTTACACCCATTATCCCCGCTCTCCTTGGGTCATAATATTAAAATCATAAATTTTCATGTTGGCAATTTGTAGCTCATAAAGAAACGTATACTATCATATCCGTTCTGTCTGTGATAAATTGCAGTTGGACTCAAACCGATATAGAATGAGAATGTCTGATCAAAATTCTATTTCCTTCACCTTGGATTTTCTTAGATGCATTAGCCATTGTTAGCACGAATGCAGTTAAAGTGGATAGAGCGAGATAAGTGTTATGCTCTACATGCCTTTTTTTGAAGATGAGAGGTTTTTCTATGCTCTGGTAGAGTTTGATCGATTTTACCGTCTACACATAACGAGACGGTAAAGTTTGCTGTTTTAACATGGGCTCTTATGGTGACCTGACAGATTTGACCTGAAATTTTAAAATTGTGAGAAAATTAACATTGAACATGTTTTTAACAACTGTTCTTTTAGTACATAGCATCTCGAAGAATCAATATGCGCAATTTGAAGGAAATCAACCGTATCAAATGGGAGAATTTTGCACAATTATGGGCCTAAATTAATCCAAAACGAGACGTTCGCGCACTTTCCAAAGGATCGGGACTGTGACGCGCAACTCAGGAACACCGCGCGCGCAACGTGCTTCATTCAAATCGAGTGACAAGACCTCTGCAAGAGTGCGTACATTCCTGTAGATCTTCTGGAAGCAATTAAAATATCCTCACTCCTGGAGAACATTGCGTTTAATAGTTACCATATATTCTGAAAAGCTGGAATTTGATGGATATAATAATTAGTGCGATCTGAATGAAAATCAAAATTCAATTAATCTTCCCAGTGTCTCACTTTTAAACTACTTCCTAAAAGAAAATGGGTGATCTTGAGAGTTAAAAGTCTTTTTTAAACATTTAGAAGAGTATTATTATTTTGTATTCTGCCGAATGTCCGTTTCTTGCTCTTGAACGATGATAATTTTTTAATTATTCAAAAATTATTCGTATGTTTAAGAATTTTTCAAATGGCAAATGAGAGGAAGACAGAAATAGTCATGTTATAATATTACATAATTATTAACAGTATCGTGAGAAAGTATGTGATGTTTTAGCACTACTAGTTTAAACCCATGAATTAAAATTATTAATGTTTATTTCATAATCGTAAATTGTGAAGTTTAGTTTGATTGTAAATATTAGTTTATAAGTTAAATGTTTATTTTTAATGTTATCTTAATTTAAAATACAGTATTTACGATATAATACAATATTGTGTTTTATTTATAACAAAAAATGAATGTTTTAGTGAGAAATCATCTGGATATATGTATAGTATTTTAAGCAATTCAATATGGGACAAATGCAAAAAACTGTTAAATAATTATACATTTCACGAACCTGGAATAACATTCACGAATACCTTTCATCCTGCTTAGACTGGAAAATTTGAAATTCACTTGATTTTTTAAATCTTTAATCGCCAATATCTTAAACTTCTAATTTTTACACTTGTGGTTTTACTCTTTCAGTTTAAAGAATTTAATTACTTACCTCAAGATCTTTTGGGCTCTTTGTGTAAACAAATAATATTGGTCCAATGTACAGTCCTGTAGTAAAGTCACCGTATTTCGCGGCAACTCCCATGAAGTAATCAAATATACCTATAAATGAGGGGAACTTAAATAATGGCACTAAATAAGTAAGATATTTTAATGGCATAAAACATTTTTAGAACTTCGAGTACCTTTGGTGGTTAATGATGGAATGTTGGGAACTACCCCCAACAACGGCCAGCCCTTAGGGCCGGGTAACTTTTCACCCAGATACATGTAGCGTATTCGCCATGTAATGAACCGCCACAACGCAAGCACCGGGCTTAGGATCAGCAATACGACCCCGAGCAAGGCCCTGGCGGTGCTGTGCAAAGAGAATATTTTCGCTTAGTATTTATTTCACATTTAATAAGGCAAAGATCATTATAGTATCACTATCTTCTATGTAGTCAGGATAATAACAATGTAGTAGGTCGGAAACAAGTCAATGTAGTAGGTCAGAAGTAATGCACGATAAAGAGGTCACCTACAGAGATAAACATTTTTGAGATTGTCTTATCAAGTGTAAATGCGTTCGATAAGTCGTAAGTGCGTGACGATAGTAACGCTGAAGGTAAAGATATCAATAGAAAGTTTTTGAAAATCAACGAGCACTCCTCAAGCCTATGCAAACAAGGGGAAGCGTAACATATTCAAATTTCTCCTGGTCTTACACTTGAGAAATGCTCGAAAGCTTCTCTAGCTTTAAAAACTTTCATCCTTGCAGTAATATCTGTCATCTTGCGGTGTCTGAATGGAAACAGTAGCTGCTGCGGTTCTCACCCCAGTTTTGCGCCCAATTATAATCCCACCCTGCGTAAATATGATTGTTTCTTCTTTAAACATTTTCAAAAATAGGGTACAATTCAGATTCAATTCACTCAGTACAATGTCGTTTTCATTTAAATTTTTGAAATTCCAAGAAAGTATAGGTATAATTGACTTTGGTTATAGTGAACAACTGGGAAGTAAACATTTTGGGTGCACTGTATCAAAGGTTCTCTACACCCGCTTACCTCAAAATATGAATATAATTCAGTGCTTGAGCTACGACTAACTTCATTATTTCTCTGGTACAGTAAAATACCTGAACGGCGCAAAAATATCAATATCTTCATGCGTTTCTTTATTGTTCGCTTTATTGTTCATCGTCAACTCTAAATATCTTAGTGGAATATTAACTCTTCCATGCCTCTTGCACTGGGCTGCTTTCTTAATTTTTGTATACTTTTCTTCGTCACAAGGGTTTTCTTTTGTTCTAAAAGACACTTTCCTTGCATACAGTATATCCTAGGTAGGTCAATTTCACTAATTTTCAAGAAGGTCAGCGTCTGTAAGTCTTCATTCTGAACAGAATATCCACTCTGTATCTGAAGTCTTCATCAATGCACGGTTCTCTCAATCTCTTTCATTTAGTATTAATGTTAGAAAAATTACTCAGGAGGGCCAACAGATTTGCCTTTTTGAGAGTAATTGAAAGAACCATAAAAATCCCTATAGATACCGTTAGACAATCAAAACACGTTTCAGATCAGTACGTTAGAGACACCGCATTTGTCTGGGTACATTTTCCGAAAGGGGTCTCACCGTGAGTGACAGACGGAGGACCGGCGGACAGGTACACGAACGGGCAGCCGGCTGGCCGTACCGATCGGAAAACCGACGGATGTAGGTCTGCAAGTGAGTTATGTAACTGTTACCATTTAAGGCTTCCACAGACCACCGGTGCGGAAGGCCCGAAGCCTACGCGGAATGGCCGCACTGAAAATTTCGCGTCACTTGTTGCCTTATGCGCACGTTCAGACTTGCGCCGCAGGCGAGGTGCAACAGTGTAGCGAACTGGCAGCGTTTTATTACCTGAGGATTTTGAAACGCAGTCGGGCACTTTTCGACCGCTGCCACTCGAGTTTCGTGGAATTCCGTCCACCTTTGGGAGTCTTCGCTCCCCTCTGGGTCGAGTTCCGTGGATTTTATTTATCGGATGAATAAAACTGTCACCAAAATCTGAGTCATAATTGAGGCTTTCATGTGAACGGCACGGCGGATCCACTATAAGTTCATTGGCAAAATTTGTTATTATCGACCCTCGTTCGTGCACTCTCAATTTGTAATTAATTCTGTATTTAATAGCTCTGTATTTGCTGGTTGAGACAATCTTTATTTGACACATAAAGCCATTATTTCTCAAAATAATAGCTAACATTGAATCTTTCTGCTAAAACCTTTCATTGAAAATTTGCAATTTCTGAGAGGAAAAAGAACGTAGAAGTGGACAACGGGCCAAGACTAACTGACCTAAGTACACGACCTTGCAGATGAAATGGGAAATTGAGATCTTGGAATTGGGTCAGCCCCAAACAATTCTCAATTTCTAAGATGAATATTCACATTTTATATTTCAGTTTTTTTCCTTCGACAAACAGTATTTTGCTAAACTAACTCACTTGTGCACAATCGTTTCTTCTGCCATGACGCAGGCTGCTCCGACAGGCTCGCACTGAAAAAAAAGACGATTCCTCCGTATTTATATGTCTGAATGCAGTTACATAAAATGCGATACGATGTGAATGAACTATCCCAATGGTATATCTTATCGTCAAAGGTTGGAGGTTCTAGGTCAAATAACGTGATTAATACTAATTTCCACTCATCCTGGAGTAGCAGTCTGATCTCTGCTCACCCGGGGCTACATATGCATGAGATAACTCGTCGGTAAAGGTAGTATCCACAGTGTCTCAAAACTCAAAAACTAATCATGCTATAAATGACACATACTTTCCCGTGCTAGTTTTCTATTTCCTTTGGTCTCGGTTTGCTATTCCGACTTGTCACATACTCTTTCCAGTTTCCATCAATCGCCACTCAGTCGTCGCCACCAGTATATCGCCCATCAAAGCAAAAAGTAAGCAATTTTTTGAAATTGTTTTCCGGTTCCTAATTGTAGAACGGAATTATTATTTTTAAGAATATCAAAGAACAGTAAAACCTCGTCCTAAATGGACATTCATTTTGAAAATTTTGTACCCGTTTTTAAGAAAATGGCGTTTAAGCGTTACTGTGAATACGAAATTTGAACCTGTTTTCTCAGAAATTGAGTTTACGAAAAACTTCATATGAAATCATTGCAAGCACTTCTAGTCACAATGGTGTTTACAAATTGGTAGAAAGTACACATTGGCGGTGTGAGAGATCTCCCCAAAAAATTAATTTATATAATTTTAGAAAAAATACCCCAAAATAAACTTTACGTCATATTAAAGAGTGCAATTATCAATATCCCTTCGAAAAGTTTGAAGAAAAAATATGGAACCGTTTTCTAAGAAAATGGCGTTTGACCGTTTCTGAAAATGTGGAATTTTCAGCTAGTTTTCACAGAAAATGGTAGTGTTTTTGAGAAATGACATTACTTAATGCACATGTTCTCATAAAAAAAGTGAACAAAACGCCTCTAATATAAATATTAACGCCGTGAGAGACACGTCAACTACATTTTGTATTTTTTGAAAAAACAAAAGAATATAGCAATATGATATATATGCCATCTCATAGAGTACATTTAGTGCTATCCCTACTGAAAGTTTAAAGAAAAAAATATCATGCTTTTGAAATTTTCGAAAATTCAAAGTTAACCGTGAAATCGGACCTATGCCACTTTTGTAAGTGTATGTTATTCTTATAACAAAATTGAAAGAAAAAACGTGGAGCCGTTTTTGAACGATGACACACGCATGCTGATAGTGTATCTCTCTAGTGCCTAAAATAAAAAGAGACGCTTAGACCATCTTCTGCATTTTGTGAACGAATCTTTTTACTTGAATCGCAAATGGTGAGAAGAAAACGATGGAGATGATGTTAGTCTAAGTGCGTTCGTAGGCTTCTGCGGACGGAGTCAACACATTCTTGGCTATCCGGGATGAGCCGCGTCTCGGTCAGTTGTGCTGACGTTTTGGCCATCTTGCTGTGGTCTTCTTCAGAGCTATGCTGCAGTATAGCGAGTGGATAGCCAAGAATGTAGTGATGTTAGTCTAAATTAAATATTTATAAAAAGAAATGTGTTGATGCGTTGTTGTCTTTCGCTTATCGAGTGTCCTCCCTTTTACATGAACATTGTTGGCAACCCTATGCATGCAGTGCGTCAGTCACTCACGGTTAGACCTCTTTTCGGTCCACCGCTTGAGACAAGCGAGACTTTGAAGCGTATCGTCCTGCTGCTAGGGAATTTACGTGGCGAGGGCGGGGTCGAGGACGAGGTGAGTGGAGGGGGGTGACGGGCCGTGGCGAGG